GGGAAAGGTGGGAGTGGGGATGGGGAGCACTCTGGGAAAGGTGGGAGGGGGGATGGGGGGAGACGCGGGGGAAGGGGGGAGTGGGGATGGGGAGATACACTGGGGAAGGTGGGAGTGAGGATGGGGAGACACACTGGGAAAGGTGGGAGTGAGGATGGGGAGATACGCTGGGGAAGGTGGGAGTGAGGATGGGGAGATACACTGGGGAAGGTGGGAGTGAGGATGGGGAGATACGCTGGGGAAGGTGGGAGTGGGGATGGGGAGATACACTGGGGAAGGTGGGAGTGGGGATGGGGAGATACACTGGGCTAGCAGTGAGCGGTGGAGGACTGAGTGCACCTTGTTGCTGTACAGTTGAGCCCTCATGCTGCTCACTTAGTTCCAGCTGTTGACTTTCAGGGTGTCAGTGGCAAAGTCTTGAGAGCAATTCGGGCAGCTACCCAGTTCCCTTTGGTAATGCTGATACAACAGATTGAGGACTTCAGCCCATCTAGCCCACCAATCCACAGTATGCAGTTTGAATCCTGGAACTCCCTTCCTAACAGCACTGCGGGTGACCCTACAGCACATGGATTGCAGCAGTTCAAGAAGGCAGCTCCTTGTCAGGAAGCATTAAGGATGGACAATTAATACTGGCCTAGCTGAAAACATCCACATCTCATGAACAAATAACTGAACCGAACCTGAATTCCATTAAATGACCAGAAATTGTCTACTTCTTCTTGGAATATGTTAAGAGATTTTTAAGAGATATGAATTTGTCTTTATTATCCTGATTAGATTCAAAAGGATCCATTTTGCGCGGAGCACCTGTTCGTCAAGGTCACCTGAAAAACCTGTAACCCAAAATTGATTCAGATCTCAGCTCAGACATTTGGAACACCACCTAAAACTAATGTTAATCATTTTATGTATGCTATGGAGGGGTCTAGGGCTTGCTTTGTTTGACTTTGAGATAAGACCTCACCAACGTGGATGTTCGTAAAAAGTAAATTGAAATGTGGATCCGGGAAACAGGAATGCTTGATACCCTCTCAGTCCACTTCCCCAAACCCCCCATGCCCCGCACTTGGTGTAATAAAGGATCTGTTGAGTGCAAAGGGGATTGGATTAAAATCTAGCCTTTCATGTGATCTTAGCTCATTTCCTGAAGGTATTGACACTTACTTCTGACGACGTCCAATTGCTTGTTCAAGAGTCTATCCTTCAAGGATGAGATTAGAGGATGAGTTTTGCAAGTAATTTTGGCACAACGCTTCTCCTCCCCATCCCATCCCATAACCTCACCCAATCCTACAACCTTCCAGCCCCTTCCTCCTTGACACATGCTCAGCAGAGCTTTGTAGAAATCATCAGCAAACGTGTCAGTGCCTGATGTTCCTCAGGCTGACCAGGAACAAAGTGGCTAATCCCATTAGAGATTAACCAACACAGCTGGAATCGAGCTGGGCATCGTTCTGATCTTCAAAGTCTGTGATGATATTTTATCTTTGATCACATCAGGTCTTATGTTTTTGATGGCAGGTGTGACATATATGAACAAATGGCTCTATTCAATTGTCCAGCGATGTTTTCAATGGGACACCGTACGTTTACAGGAATCTTAATGTGCAATGAATGAGTAAATCATTAAACAAATAGTACAATAAGACTTAATCACATTGCAATCTGATATTAGATCAATTTAAGGAAATTGGTAAAAGAATCAAAGGAGAGGTAAGAAGAATTTTTTTTTAAGATCTGTTCTGTTTGAAAGGGCAGCCAAAGCAATCTCAACGATGACTTCGAAAAAGGAATTGGCTAAATACCTAAAGAAGAAATTTTACTGGAAATGGGTTAAGAGGCAGATGAATTGAATTAATTGAATGGCTTTTTGAGAGAGCTAGCACAGATATGATGGCCCAAACAGACTCCTGTATGAATCCTACCATACGTTTGATGATGACTGGAATCTCTTGGCTCAATCTGCTTCAGAAGAGCAACCAAAGACACAGCTGAGGCATTACAATACTTGTCTGTCTGAAACAGTGATTGAAATATTCCCCTCTGCTGAATGACTGACTTGTGATCAGGACTGTAACAGGATGTTTGCAGCTCTAATATTTGGAGATTTTGATTAAAGGAGAAGACTCCTTTTGCATTCCTCACATTCCTTATTTAATGCACTGTGTATTATTCCAGGCTGTTTGGGAATTTCTTCATCTCACTCTGACAAACCTGTTTACATTCTTACATTAAAATCAAGGTTCATTGCACAGACTCCATCCCTAAATCCTTCATCCTGAGCAACTGGAATTATGAAAAACCTGACCTTCTTCATTCTTCCACTACAAACTCTCAAAATCCACATTTGCTCTCCTCCAAACGATAACTTTTCATCCACATTTTCTTTTTTGATTTCAACATTTTTAAAAAGAAAAAGTTACATTCCTATAGCGCCTTCCATCAACCCAGAATGTCCAAAAGTTCTTTACAGTCAATGAAGTGCTTTAAAAGTGTCACTCTTGAAACATAACTGCTAACCGATACATAGCAAGATGTCACAACCCAGCTCATCTGTCCATTTATGGTAATGTTGGGCAAGGGACAAATATAGGACAGAACTTCACAGATAACACAGCTTATCTCTTCAGAAACTTACCTTTGGATCTTGTCTATGTACCTCAGAGAGAAGACTAGACCATGGTTTAATACCTCATCCAAAAGACTGACCTTCCGACTGCCTCTCATTCTCATTCCTCCCTCCACAATACCAGGGGTGGACTCTCAGCCATTCTGCCCATGCCCTCTCACCTTGCTGCCACCTTCAGGATTCTATATTCCTCCTACCTCCCTCTTTAGCTCAAACCTTTGCCCTCTTCATTCAATTTCCTTCGGAACTGCTTATTTTTCCTTATCTCGTGAGACTGTTTGAGAAGAAATGAACTGTCTTTGTGTCCTGGCCAAAACCCTTCCTCAAACATCTCCAAAAAATAGATGACTAATCCTGTACAAAGAGTTACTCTAGGAGACCAGTTTTCACCAGCTCAGCTTGAATTCTCTGTGTCTTGGATCATTAGTGGATGATCAAATGGAGGGATTTCAAATGATGGAGATTTGAGAGTGTCAGGGAAACTATTCCCTATAAAGGGAGAGCTGGATCTTTCGTAAATAAAATCTCTACAGTGTGAAAACAGGCCATTCAGTCCATTAACTCCATATCCACCCTCTGTAGAGCAGCCCACCCAGACCCACCTATCCCTCTGTTTCCCATGGCTAACCCACCTAGCCTGCACATCCTTAGACACTATGGCATGGCCAATCCATCTACCCTACACATCTTTAGACAGTGGGAGGAAACGGGAGCACTCAGAGGAAACTCACGCAGACACAGAGAGAATGTGCAAACTCATCACAGACAGTCACCCAAGGATAGAATCAAACCCACATCCCTGGCGCTATGAGGCAGCAGTGCCACTGCAGCTCCCTAACTTTTGAATTAAAGCTACAAGCTGTTCAGGATGGTGTCCAGAAGCATGTTTTCACAAATGGTCTCCTGAAAGGTTATGGGGGTCAGTCCAAACCTACAAGGTGGATGGACAGGACTTTATTAGCCTAAGATTGTGAGGGATCTGGTGGATCAGTGGAATTGGAGCATTGACCAGCCATGATCTGATTTTCTGAAGAGGGATCTAGGCCTGAAACGTCAGCCTTCCTGCTCCTCTGATGCTGCTTGGCCTGCTGTGTTCATCCAGCTCTACACCTTGTTATCTCATGATCTGATTGACTGTCTGAACATACACTCACTTCCCCTAAAGCAATTCCAGAAACAAGCCTGTTCAGCTGCTGAACCTAGATTTGTGTCAGATTGCTCATAAATACTGTCTGTTTCAGGTCAGCTAAAGACCAGAAGCTGTAGGGAAGGGCGATATCCACCAGGGTTAGAGAGTTTAAATGAATCAGCGTTCAAGATGCTGTACAGCACAGAAGCAAACCCTTCAGTCCAGCTCGTCTATACTGACCAGATATTCTAAATTAATTTAGACCCATTTGTCAGCATTTGACCCATGTCCCTCTAAACCCTCCCTGTGTATGTACACATCCAGATGCCTTTTAAATGTTATAACTGTACCAGCCTCCACCACTTCCTCTGTTGTTCCATACACGCACCACCCTCTGCATGAAAAGATTACCCCTTAGGGCCCTATTATATCTTTGCCCTCTAGTTTTGGACTCCCCCACCCTGAGGAAATGATCTTGACTATTCACCTTATTAATGCCCCTCATGATTTTATAAACCTCTAAAAGATCACCTCTCAGTCTCCGATGCTCCAGAGAAAATAGTCCAGCCTATTCAGTCTCTCCCCATAGTTCAAGCCCTCCAATATCCTTGTAAATCTCTTCTGAACTCTTTTAAGTTTAACATCATCTTTCTTCTAGCAGGGAGACCAGAATTAGTCAATGCAGTTGTAGTCATTTGCAGCAACAGGATCACATTCACTGTTTGCTCCTCTGTATCAAATTACCTGCTAACCCTGAGACAGTGAAATGCCAACGTTAATAACACCATTTGCATAGTGTAACTCCTGGTATAGTGTAAAATGTAATATCATACCATCTCATAGATAATGATCTATGGAGATAAAACACTTTACCAGTGATTTTACTCGA